ATCAAAAACTAATGATGTATTGTATGGTGACTAACATAACATAATAAAATTTAAAAAAAAAAAAAAAGAAAAGCCTAGAGAATTTTAGGGAAATTCTAGAGCAGTTCCTCAATTTTCATAATTGATAACAGAATTTGTTAAGGTGGCTGGATACAATATAAAATACAAATTTGGGGGGCACCTAGGTGGCTCAGTCAATTAAGTGTCCATCTCTTGATTTTGGTTCAGGTCATGATCTCACAGTCATGGGATGGAGCCCCACGTCAGGCCCCCTGCTCAGCATGGAGTCTGCTTCTCCCTCTCCCTCTGCCACTCACCCCTGCTTGTACACTCTCGCTCTCTCTCTCGTGCTCTCTTTCAAATAAATAAATAAAATCTTAAAATTTTAAATAAATAAATAAGAACAGACTGTAAACAAAAAACACAGAAGGAAATCTTACATATTATTTTAAAAGAGAGAGAGAAGTCAAAGCAAGCTTATACCTCCACCACCTGCCTGTACACTGTATACTTCTGCTTTAAAAAAAAAAAAAAAGATAGTGCTGGGAAAATACATGTAACTATATAACCATGAGAAAAAGAATAATCACACATCACTTACAAACTCTGTAACTAAATGGTAACACTGAGTCAGATTCTACACAAATAAAAAATTATGTTACAATATATAAAAAGTAGGGCAGCATAACATTTCAAAACATGGATTACAATCTATATTATACTGTTCATCAAAAAATTGGTTAGTAATAATTGTTAAAGACTACTTTTAATGTAGCAGACTCTCCTTTCAATGGTAGTAAGTAATTTCTATCTTCTAACATAATTGTACAACTCACTGAAAATCTAACTATGGAGTTTCAGTGTGACACAATGAAAATAATAAGGTCTTTGGAGCCCCAAAAGAATTAAGCTTGAATCCTGTAAACTATGTCATATAGGTCAGGTTACTTAAATCCTCTGAGCTTCAGTTCAAGCTAATTAGTACATATTGGATACTAAACATTGGCTGTCATTACTTTTATGACAAGCATTTTCTATACAAAATTGTTAAACTGTAAGAGACATCAACTGACCTGAAAGAGATCCAATTTGAACCTTAACAGAACTCTACAGGATTTTTATCACCTTTATTTTTGTTGTTTTAGCTAGATCTCTTAATTATTCTAACCATTTGCCACAAATGTTTTATAATGAAAATATATTTGGACCAATTTTTCCATTATTGTTTACCCATTTGCAAAATGAAATTGCTTCATGTGTTTGCCAACATCTTCAAGCAAAAGAACAATGTAAACATTCAAATAAATAAATTACATACCTCTATGCTTTTAATCCTATTTTCAGTGATATGCAAAATTCCAGTATGAATCAAAGTTGTTTTAATTTCTCTTTCAAGAGCTTGAATTTCATCCCATTTATTAAGTATTTCACATCTCTTCTTTTCAACCTTCTCAATAAGAGTAAGGTGATCTTCATTCATTACATCTTTCTTAGATAATTCTGCAAATATTTTTAAAAGCAAAGTATTACTGTTTAATATGTCATCTCTTATTAATAGTATTATGCATTACTAACTGTATTATGTATGTTATATATAGCTATAAAATATAATGTAACTCAAGCTCCAAGCACATCAATAAAAATTATCTGATCCAAGAATTGGAATATTCTTCCCCTAATTTACTGAGTGCCCAATTTGAGCACCTAACGTAGTGTGGGGAAGGTGCAAGGACGACTTTGCAGGAGAAGTGTGATGAACTTGAGACGCAAAGGATGAAAAGGAGTTAAGACAAGAGAAAGGGGGAAGAAGGGGCAGAAGAGCAGAACTTGGCACATGTTGGTAAAAAGAAAGTTATATGGTAGGGTGGGAACATTGAGGGCCAGGGAGCAACATCAATGAATACTAGAAAGGAAGCAGGGGGGAGAACTGAAAAGGTCTTATAACATATGTTAGGAAATCAGTCAATGCTGTTGAAGGCTTTTAAGCTGGGATCAACACACACAATGGTCACTCTGTCTGCAGTACCAAAAGTGGATGAGAAAGGGTGAAGCTGGAACAGGATGACCAGTCAGAAAGCTACCACACTCATTCAAACAAGATCAGATCAAGATAGTACCTGTGGCATAAAAAGAAGTGAAGAGATACAAAAATGATTTAGGGAATGGAAACAAGGAGGGCTTGGTAACTGACTGGATCTGGATGGAGAGGACAGGTAGGTATCAAAATAATCCCTAGGTTTCAGCTTTGCTACAGCTAGGAACAGATGCAGTAGGAAGGAAGGGAGGTCAATGCAGCAGAGAGGTAAGACAGCTGGGCCACTAACTACAAGCTGTGTTAAAGTGATTGATAGGGCAGAGAGGGAAAGATTTCCTCTGCAGGCTTTCTGACTTGACTTCCATGTGTTTGGTGATGCCATTCACTGAAACAGAGAGTTTAATCTTGGGCGTGTTGAGCTGAGGCACCTATGGGATACTCAAGTGGTCTTATCCAGTAGGCAATTGGATATAGGGATCTCAAGCCTAAAAAAGACATTTGAGCAGGAAAGAGATTTGGAATTAAATATGTGTGCATTGAACCAAAGACATGCTGGGCTCCAACAAACATCATTATTTAAGGATTCAGAAAGGAGACGGAGATATTGAGAATAACTCACTGCTGAAGGAACTTGATCATCAAACAGCACAGGTAGGTTCTGACTACAGTGGTAATTTTTTGAGAAAGAAAAACCAATCCTTTTTGATAGGAAAGAAAGCAACTCAAAAGAGTGATAATACTTACCCGTCCATAGTAAACAACACAGAAACAATTGCCATCATTCAAACTTGCCAAATTTGGTAGAAGGGAAAACTTTGAAGATGAGTTTTGAAATTTGGGGGAACTAGCTAAGTACATACACAATGAACTAGCCAAGGAGGCAGAAGCCAGAGTTAAGCTTCTGCACAAACAGGAACTATGATCTGAAGTCTGATCCCCACCTTAACCTAAGCTGAAGGTTTTAACCTACAACAATTAACTGGGGGCACAGAAGCCAAAAGGAGTATAAGGACACTCCAATGACCCCACTGTTGTTACCCCTTTTCTACCTAAAAGGAAGACTGAGGGGCACCTGGATGGCTCAGTCAGTTAAGTGTCTGCCTTTGGCTCAGGTCATGATCCCAGGGTCCTAGGATTGAGCCCCATATCGGGCTCCCTGCTCAGTGGGGAGTCTGCTTCTCCTTCTCCCTCTCCTCCCACTCATGCTAACGCTCTCTCTCTCTCTCAAATAAATAAATAAATAAAATCTTTAAAAAAGAGAGAGAGAGAAAGATTGAGGTACCAAAAGGCGGAAATCCCACAGTAAATACATACATTTGGAGGAGAGGCTCCTGAACGAGAAAGCTTTAGGAAAAGAATAGAGGATGAACACAAGCCACCAGATTTCTTCAGTAGCACAGGAAAAGTGTCAGAAACAGCTAGAATCAACTACTAAGAAATGTTTACTACAGTTCTAGAAATTAGTAATGTCCTCTTATTTATTATCTTATAAATCCTGATGTTTTATCCTGTTAGCAGTTAGCAATGAAGCCCTTAAATCTAAAAGAAAAGTGGGACAAATACCATATGATTCCACTCATAAATGGAATCTTAAAAAAAAAAAAAAAGAACAAACAAAAAGCAGAATCAGACCTATAACTACAGAGAACAAAGTGATGGTTGCCAGAGGGAAGAGGGTGGAGGGATGGGGCAAAATAAGTGAATGCGAGAGGAAGACTCAGGCCTCCAGTTACAGAATGAGTAGGTCACAGGAATAAAGAGCAGAGCATAAGGAATATGGTCAATGATACTGTAACAGCGATTTACTGGGACAGGTGGTAGCTACACTTGTGGTGAGCATCACATAAAGCGTCAAATGTGTCAAATCAACACGTTGTACACCTGAAATTAATGTAACATTGTGTGTCAACTATACTCAAATTAAAAAAAAAAGGAAAGGAAAAAAATGTTTGGCCTGTCTTAGGATACAGCAAGGAAACAGTGAGCTTGAGTCCCATGCATGACTTTTCTATAAGAGGAACCCAAGAATACGCAATGTGGGTGCAGGAGAAAGATGGACCCAACCTCTCTGTAAGTCCTGGCACATGATCAGAAGACAAGCACTGGGCTGGCCTAGGAGAAAAAAGAGGCCAGGACTCAGGCCACAAGAAACCCTTGGAACATGGCCAGCAGGTAAATCACACAAGTGTTGCTCACAGAGAGGAAATAAGTGGCAGAAGGAAGCAAAAGACCCCAGTAAGAACCTTTGAGGCCAAGTTCTGCTGAGAACTTAAAACAGGTTAGATCTGTGAGTATATCCTAAAAGCTGCTGAGGGGCGGGGGACGGCGGGGAGTGATTCCAGTATGAGTTAGTATTTAACAAACTTGTAGGAAAAATGGCATTTGGCTGAATCATTGCATTAACAGTATGGAACTTATTTTGGTTACTTAATCATATTCTAAATTGTGTATCTAATTTTAAAATAATTTTAGTATTGGGCGCCTGGGTGGCTCAGTTGGTTAAGCGACTGCCTTCAGCTCAGGTCATGATCCTGGAGTCCAGGGATCGAGTCCCGCATCGGGCTCCCTGCTCAGCAGGGTGTCTGCTTCTCCGTCTGACCCTCTTCCCTCTCGTGCTCTCTGTCTCTCATTCTCTCTCTCAAATAAATAAATAAAATCTTAAAATAATAATAATAATAATTTTAGTATTTATTTAATGCATAAGTATTCATAAATGTAATCAGATTCCCATAAACTGTGTATTCTTCCTCACAACAGCCATGAGGAGGAGGAGGAATGGGCAGGGCCACTCCCCTGGGCCAGGCGCCCTGCTCCTACTTCCTGTGGATTCTTACATTTAATCCTCACAGCACACCTGAGAGGGAAGTACCATCATTATCCCCACTTAACACGCAGGCAGCTGAGACTAACAGAGTTGAAATAACAAAGCTGGTGATCTGGGTGAACCACCAGCCCCATGGCCTGCCAGGGAGACTGGTCCAACCCTGGCAGCCCTCTACCACCTGCACACCATGGGAGTGAGGCTGAACCCGACAGAGAACGTGTCTGTAAGACAGAGGACATCACAAACTCAGAGAGCCTGGGAAACGTGTTGTTTGTAAACGCTGACTTCTTCAAGCTGGGAAAAGAGATGCAAAGGTTCTGGAATCCAGAATAGACTGTCTTCATTGCTGTTACCCTGGAAACCACAAGAGGCTAGAGCTAAAACTTGACGTAATTCTTTCTACATGAGGTCTTGACTTAATTCACTATTCTGCTAAAAACCACAAAGATCTTAGAGAAGAATGACGTGGTATATACATGTTGTATCTGGTTCCAGAGAAACTAAAAAACCAAAGGTGCCCAAAGCAACAGAAACTGGAGTAATAATCTCCACCCTGACAGGATCTATTAAAGAGATGAACTGTTTCCCACACCTTTAAAGTATTTCATTTAAACCACTTCTGATTAAATGAAAACTTGCTGTATTTCTAAAGAACTTGATGGAAAAAATATAAATGAATACAATTTAATAAGCTATCTGGAAAAAAAGAACCCTTTCAAACAAATAATAGCAGGAGACCATAAATCATAGATTATCATAGACGAGGACATGAAGATTCTTCACCCAGAGGTCAGAAGAACAACATCATCATACAATTACTCGCCTGACTTTTCCTTAGCAGATTGCAGCAATGTGTTTTCCATCTCTAGTTCACTTCTGAGTCTACAGGTTTGGTAAAAAACAGCAAAATATCAGAACTCCATTCATACCTTTCTTCTTTTGTCTATTTTATGCCACAAGTCTTTCTTTAAAATTGAGAAATAAAAAGTCATCTCAGTTTCTATCAAAAAAGGTAATTTGAAACTCTATATAAAATGAAAGCCTAAGTCAGTCAAATTAAATAAACAAAAGAATACTTTCTTACCAAGATTGCATAAACCACTAGTTGAAGAAGCTGGTTAATATAAAGTAAATTATTTCCTGTAGTGTTATGAACATTATTTTGTTACTTTAAATTCTACAAAGCAGGGAGACAAAGAAATCAGCATTTACACTCCAGGATGAACAACAGATGAGGGGCAGTGGAGGCAGGTCCCTGCAGCTAGAATGCACACTGCATGTTCCCTGGGCCTCATGATTTCCTCCCACAGATACAATTCACAAATCCCACTATGTTTGTACTAAAAATAAAATACAAGACATTTTAAAAGGAAATGAAAACATCTGTAATCTCTTTGTATCCTCTCCCTGGTTTAAAAAAAAAAAAAAAACTAAATCAACTGTCTTATTTCTAATACATGGGGGGTGGGGAGGAGTCTAATATGTATTGCTTGTACAGAAATCCTATGATTTGGTTAAAAACATCAGTGCCACAAATGAGTCAATGCTGCCTGTCTACAGGGGCCTAATGGTTAAGTAGCTTCACATACATTAGCTCATTTTATCAGAGATGAAAAGAAACAGAAAAGTATTATGACCTCCAATTTTAAGAAATTGAGATTAAATGAATTAATAATAATGGTAACAGCCTTATCAGTATGCAGAGTCAGGGCATTTAGTTTCCAGAAATGTTAAATGTGTTATAGTTTTAAATATTATGTTCTATTCCATTGCTTTTTCTTCTTCTTCTGAGACTTTAATTATATGTAAATTGGATCTTCTTTGCCTGTCTTCCACTTCAACCAGTTTTTCTCTGTCTTTTTATTTCTTTTGTTATCTCATCTTCATTCTCTAGCTTGTTTTTTGTTTTTCCCTAATGCTCCTTATTGTGTCCACTCAAGAGTATCCCTCCTTGGGTGTGTCATAATTTCGTCTGGATCTATGACATAATTTTGACTTTTTCAACTATCTTTCCTGAGTGGTCAAATCTTGCTTCACATCTTCCTTTTTATTGCTGTTGATTGCTGTGCTTTCTTAGTGTTTACATTTCTAACTCAAGGTCATTTTCATAGCTAGAAATGCTCTTTTGAGAATATTTAAGTTTGGAATGCTGTGGTACAGTTTTCTTCAACTTTTTGTTGTTGTTGGATGGCAGGGATTCTCATCAGCTAAATTGTTTGGGTCCTCATTTTATCAAGAGAGATAGTTGCTTGTGCAGACAGAGATCATTTGCACCTCTGCATTTTTGTAGGTAGGGATAACAGTTTGGGTAGTGTGTGAGGTTCCTAATTCAAGAGGACACATTTTTGTCAGAATAGCAAAGTATGCTTTTGTTGTTGTTTTAGGGTGTTTTATTTTGATTTTTTTACTGGATAACTTTTTTTTTTTTGGAGGAAAGAAAGAACAATAGTGAAAGGGTCATGTGCCCTTCAATTTTCTTCTTTTATGGGATTCTAAACTCCCCTCCCTTGCTTCTTTTTCTCTTCAATGCACAGTTCTAAAAGATGCTGATCACTTCTTTTAAAGCTCTTCCCACCATATCACTATCACTTCAGCACTGGTTCCTTGCTTCCATGCTCACTTCAAAGTCCTTTCCTTCTAAGTCAGTGCACTGATAGGGAAACTACTCTCTTTTCCTCCCTCCCTACCCTGTCCCCCTTCCACCCTTCCTTCCTTTCTCTCTCTCCCTGTTCCCTCCCTCCCCTTCCACCTCTCCTTCCCCTTCTCCCCCCCTCCTCCTCTCTCCCTCCCTCCCTCTCACGACCTCCCCCCTTCCCTCTCTCTCTTTCCCTTCCCCACTCTTCCTTTCTCTCTCTTCCCCTTCCTCCCTTCTCTCTCTCTCTCTCTCTCTCTCTGGAACTGGTTTTAGAACATGATAAGCCTTCTACCAGCTCCATTCTTCTCTCTTCCCCCACTGCCCTTGCTCTTACCAAGGTTTGAAGAAAGAAAGCTGATAATGATTCACTGGCATTTGATGTGTATTTTTCTAATTTCAAGTACTTTGAAGTTTGAATGCTTTTTGTCCTCTACTTATACTGAAGACATGGTTTTGTTTTTTGGGTTTTTTTTCTTGTTTTGTTTTCTTGATAATATTTTGGGTGTGTTGGCTTTGCTTCAGTCTTCTTTAAATCCTCTATAAAACATATGCCCTATCCAATTGTGATTTCATCTGAAAGACTACACAGAAAAGTTAAAAGATTTTTTTTAAGTTAAAAACATAAAAACAAGATCATTCATGAAAGGTGTCTTGACTTTGCAGCAGTGTCACCTATCAGTAGGTCCCCAGGGGACCACTAAAGAAGATGAGATGCTTTCAGAAACCATCCCAAACCACCCTCCCCCCCTCGCCATACAAACACCAGATTTGGCTGAATTTCCCAGTCACAGATGTGATGGCTTATGAAAGAGGCCAAAGGGCAGGGTATTAGTAAAGGCAGCATGCCTCCCCCATTAGTGCAGAAAAAAATGTAAATATATATGCTTGTCACATGGTTTTAAAATATTGTAAAATAGTATAATCCCAACATAAATAAAATCAGACTGTTAACCCTCACTTGTCATTATGCTCCAGGGCTGCTTTGGTGGCCATCACCATCACCCTCAGCTCCTCCTTGGCCTGGTTGACATCTGCAGTCTTCACTGATCTCTTCTCCAGTCCCTTGGCATTAGCCAGCAGAGTCTAGGAAGGACAAGGTCATAATGGGTAAGACAGACACAGGATGGGTGAACATTTTCCTTTTTTGTTATTACAGTGTATTCAAGATATCCTGAGTCAAAATAGAAATTCTAGGTAAAACAGGTAAATAGGATGAAAGGGGGGAGAAAATATTGGAGAAGGAATAACTAGTCATGCAAAGATCTGGGTAAAATATTGTTTTTAAAATTTTACGGTTTTATTTTCTTAAGAAAGTTAAAAAGTGGCAGGGGTTCACTGTGGGTTTGTGTGGGGGAAAGAAATGTTGAATAAAGTGCTCCAAGTATATTATCACGAGCACAAGAATTATTTCTGAATTGGTGAGAAACTATTTAATTTGATTATTCTACATGGATATAAAGCAATGCTGAACTCAAATGTGGAGACACAGAGTCTCTGCTTCATTAGGTGAAAGGCTGCCACATTTCCAGAAACAGAAAGAAGGATAGGATGCCCTGTTGGCCAGGGAAATTTTCATGCTGATATTTGATTGGGATAAAGGCATGTATGTTCCTTTTGGACTCAACCTCAAAAACTAAGGAATAGGGTAGATCCCCAACTGGAGGTTTGTTTATTCCTGTCAAACAAAAGCTTATTTTTCTGCAGCACGAAAAGCTCAAAACAAGGAAAACTTTGCACACATGCAAGTTTGAATTAAGGAGTAAATCAGATATGGGGAAGATGGCAATGGAGTAGGAGGACATGAGGCTCACTTTGTCCCTCAAATACAACTAGCTAACTATCAAATCCCTAACTACCCCCCAGAAATTGACCTGAAGACTGGCAGAACAAACTCCACAACTAAAGGCAGACAAGAGCCCACAATGAAGAAGGTAGGAAGTGTGGAGACATGGTTTGGGAGAGAAACGGATGGTGGCCAATGTGGTGTGGAGAGAGCTGCAGTCGCAAAGGAGGGTGAGAGACAGACTAGCACAGAGGGAAGCCCACATGGGGAACACGAAAACAAGAAAACAAGAGGGGCTGAATTTCATGAGTTCTTGCAAGTAGTGGGGCTTAAAGCCTAGAGATTTAAAGGTCAGTGTGCCTGGCTCAGGGAGAGCCCCGAGGGCATTGGGGCTACTCCAGGAGAGAAGGTAGGGCAAGCAGCCTGCAGACATACAGCATGAAAACAATCTGAAGAGCACCTGGCGCACACATTGGGGAAGTTATTTGCTCGTCTTGGAGTGTGTCCCAGAGAGGAAGGGTTCACAGAGAGACCCCTTTGGGAACAAAGGAGCTGGCAGGTACCATTTCCTTTGCCAACCCTCAGCACGAGCACAGGACCACCTGCAGGAACCAGTGCCACTTGGACACTCTCTACCTAACTTGCTTACACCAAGCCATGCCCCAACCCCTCATGCTTCAGTGGGACCTACTCTCCCAACCACGTCTGCCTCGGTCCCAGCACAGTGGGTCCCCTACCCCAGAAGAGTGGCCCAAACCCCTGCCAACACCACATCTCCCAATCTGGGAGTTTTTCAGGGCATTGGTTCCAGCGGTGGTGGTGACTGGTCTCATTTCAAAAGTGGAACACACCTAGTTAAAGTTCACCACGTTCAGGCAAGGGAACAAACACTGCCCACAACAGGCAAAGAGAGCCTCTGCAGACAACTGGCCTGAAGGATAAAGTGGCCAGGACAAAATAGCAGAGTGCATGCAGCACACATTGGAGGCACTCTCTGAAGTGCCAGGCTCTGCAGAACAGGGGACACTACACTGCAAGGTGCTGCAGGACCTCTTCTTCATAAGGCCATTAACCTCAAGAACAGGAGACATAGCTGACCTTCTTAACACACAGAAACAGGCACAGCGACTTACACAAAATGAGAAGACAGATGAATTTGTCCCAAATTGAAAGAACAGGACAAGGCCACAGCCAGAGATCTAAATGAACCAGATAAAGTAACATGCCTGATGGAGTATTTAAAGTAATGATCATAAAGATACTCACTGGACTTGAGAAAAAGAGTAAAAGACATAAGGGAAACCCTTAACACAGAGATAAGGAATAACATAGCAGAGATAAAGGGTTTAATGAACAAAATGAGAAACACACTCAATGGAATGAGCAGCAGGCTAGAAGAAGCAGAGGAATGAATTACTGACCTAGAAGACAGAGTGAGGGAAAGTAATCAAGCTGAACAAAAGAGAGTAAAAGGAATTATGCAAAACAAGAATACACCTGGGAACTCAGTGACTCCATCAAACATAATAACATTCATATTGTAGGGATCCCAGAAGAAAGAGAGCGAAAATGGGGTAGAAAAAAAAATTTTTTTTTAAAGATTTTATTTATTTATTTGACAGAGAGAGACACAGCGAGAGAGGGAATACAAGCAGTGGGAGTGGGAGAGGGAGAAGCAGGCTTCCCGCCGAGCAGGGAGCCCGATGCAGGGCTCCATCCCAGGACCTGGAATCATGACCTGAGCCGAAGGCAGACGCCCAACGACTGAGCCACCCAGGCGCCCCTGGGGTAGAAAATTTATTTGAAGAAATAATAGCTGATAGGGAACTGAAAAGTTCCCTAATCTGGGGAAGGAAACAGATATCCAGATCCAGTAGGTACAGAGAAACGTCAACAAAATAAAAAAAGCAGATCCATACCACAACATATTGCAATTAAAATGGGCAAAATGTAGTGATAAAAAAAAAAATTTTAAAGCAGCAAGACAAAAGTAGACAGTTACATATAGGGGGAACCCCATAAGGCTATCAGCAGATTTTTCAGTAGAAATTTTGTGCCAGAAAGGGGTGGCATGAAATATTCAAAGTGCTGAATGGGGAAAATGTGTAGCCAAGAATATTCTATCCAGCAACACTATTATTCAGAATAGAAGGAGAGATAAAGAGTTTCCCAGACAAACAAAAACTAAAGGAGTTCATGACCACTAAACCAGCCCTACAAGACATATTAAAGGGGACACTTTGAGTGGAAAGAAAAGACCAAAAGTGATAGTATGAAGGTAGGAAACACAAAAGCAGTAAAAATGAATATTTCTGTAAAAAGTCAGTCAAGGAATTCACAAAATAAAAGGATGTGAATTATGACACCATATACCTAAAATGTGGGGAGGAGAAGACTAAAGAACGTGTTCAAACTTAAACGATCATCAACTTAATATAGACTGCTATATGTATATATTATATACAAACCTAATGGTAACCACAAATCGAAAATCAGTAATAGATATACAAAGAATAACAAAACCCAAATATATCACTAAGAAAACCAACAAACCATGAAAGAAGAAAGGATCAGAAAAAAACTTCAGAAACAAAGACAAAATAAGTAACAAAATGGCAATAAATACCTATCTATCAATAATTACTTTGAATGTAAGTGGACCAAATGCTCCAATCAAAAGACATAGGATGACAGAATGGATAAAAAACAAGACCCATCTATATGCTGCCTATAGGAGACTCACCTGCAGATTGAAAGTCAGGGGATGGAGGAACATTTATCATGCAAATGAGTGTCAAAATAAAGCTGAAATAGCAATACTACATCAGAATAAATAGATTTTAAAACAAAGAGTGGAACAAGAGACAAAGAAGGATAATACATAGTAACAAAGGGGACAATCCAATAAGGAGATATAACAATTTTAAATATTTATGTACCCAACATGGGAGCATGCAAATACATAAAACAGTTAATAAAAAACATAAAGGAACTAATTGATAGCAATACAATAACAGTAGGGGACTTTAACACCCCACTTACATCAATGGACAGATCATCCAATCAGACAATCAACAAGGAAACAATGGCACTGAATGACACATTGGTCCAGGTGGATTTAACAGATATATTTAGAACATTCTATCCTAAAACATCAGAATACACATTCTTCTCAGGTGTACATGGAACATTCTCCAGAATAGATCACATATTGGGCCACAAAACAAGTATCAACAATTCAAAGAGATCAAAGTCATACTATGCAGCTTTTCCAACCACAATGCTATGAAACTAGAAATCAACTACAAGAAAAAATCCGGAAAGACCACAAATACATGGAGGTTAAATAAACAATGAATAGGTTAACCAAGAAATCAAGAAAGAAATCCAAAAGTACATGGGAACAAATGAAAATGAAAACACACGATCCAAAACCTCTGGGATGCAGCAAAAGCTATTCTAAGAGGGAAGTTTATAGCAATACAGGCCTACCTCAAAAGGCAAAAAGAAATCTCAAATAAACAACCTAACCTTACACCTAAAGGAGCTAGAAAAAATAACAAACAAAACCAAAAACCAGTAGAAGGAAGGAAATAATAAAGATTAGAGCAGAAATAAATGCTATAGAAACTTAAAAAAAAAAAAAAAAGTAGAACAAATAAATGAAATCAGGAGCTAGTTCTTTGAAAAACAGCACAACAAAAATTGATAAAATAAAATTACAGAGGATGCCTGGGTGGCTCAGTTGGTTAAGCCTCCAATTCTTTTTTTTTTTTTTAAGATTTTACCCATTTATTTGAGAAAGAGTGAGAGAGTAAGAGAGCGATTAAGAGAACAAGTGGGGGGTAGGGGAAGAGGGAGAAGGAGACTCCCTGAAGAGTAGGGAGCCCGACATGGGATTCAATCCCAGGACCCTGGAATTATGACCTGAGCCAAACACACACGCTTAACCGACTGAGTCACCCAGGCGCCCTCTTTTTCTTCTTCGTTTTTTTTTTTTTTTTCAAGCCTCCAACTCTTGATTTTGGCTCAGGTCATGATCTCAGGGGCGTAAAATTGAGCCCCACGTCAGGCTCTGTGCTCAGCGGGGAGTCTGTTCGAGATTATTGCTCTTCCTCTCTCTCTCAAAACAAATGAATAAATCTGAAATAAATAAATAAATAAAATTACAAATGAAAGAGGAGGAAGAACCACCAACATCACAGAAATACAAACAATTATAAGAGAATATTATGAAAAACTATATGCCAACAAACTGGACAAACTAAAAGAAACGGATAAATTCCTAGAAACATATAACCTACCAAAACTGAAGCAGGAAGAAACAGAAAATTTGAATAGACTAAGTACCAAAAAGGAGATTGAATCAGTAATCAAAAAACTCTCAACAAACAAAAGTTCATGATCGTTTGGCTTCACAGCTGAATTCTACCAAAATATTAAAGAAGAGTTAGTATTATTTTCTCAAACTATTCCAAAACATGGAAGAGGAGGGAAAACTTCCAAATTCATTATATGAGGCCAGCATTACCCTGATACCCAAAGCAGATAAAGACATCACCACCAAACAACAACAGCAAAAAAGAACTACAGGCCAGTATCTTTGATGAACATAGATGTAAAAATACCCAAAATGAGGGGCGCCTGGGTGGCTCAGTCGGTTAAGTGTCTGCCTTCAGCTCAGGTCATGATCCCAGGGTCCTGGGATCGAGCCCTGCATCGGGCTCCCTGCTCCATGGGAAGCCTGCTTCTCCCTCTTCCACACCCCCTGCTTGTGTTCCCTCTCTCGCTGTCTCTGTCAAATAAATAAATAAATCTTTAAAAAAAAAATACTCAACATGATGCCTGGATGGCTCAGTTGGTTAAGCGTCTGCTTCAGCTTGGGTCATGATCCCAGAGTCCCAGGATCGAGCCCCGCATCAGGCTCCCTGCTCAGCAGGGAGTCTGCTTCTCCCTCTGCCCCTCACTTGCCCATGCTTGCTTGTGCTCTCTCTCTCAAATAAATAAAATCTTAAAAAAAAAAACAAAAACTCAGCAGGGACGCCTGGGTGACTCAGTTGGTTAAGCATCTGCCTTCAGTTCAGGTCATGATCCCAGGATCCTGAGATCAAGTCCCACATGGGACTCCTTGCTCAGCGGGGAGCCTGCTTCTTGCTCTGCTCCTCCCCCACCACCACTCATTCTCTCCCCTTCTCTTTGACAAGTAAATAAATAAAATCTTTAAAAAAAAAAAAATCCTTGGGGCGCCTGGGTGGCTCAGTCATTAAGCGTCTGCCTTTGGCTCAGGTCATGATCCCAGGGTCCTGGGATCGATCCCCGCATCGGGCTCCCTGCTCCACGGGAAGCCTGCTTCTCCCTCTCCCACTTCCCAGCTTGTGTTCCCTCTCTCGCTATGTCTCTCTCTGTCAAATAAATAAATAAAACCTTTAAAAAAAAAAATCCTCAACAAAATGCTAACAAACCAAATCCAACAATACATTTAAAAAATCATTCACCACAATCAAGAGGGATTTATTCCCAGCATGCAAGAGTGGTTCAATATTTGCAAATCAGTCAATGTGATACATCACATCAATAAAAGAAAGGATAAAAACCATAAGATTATTTCAATAGATGCAGAAAAAGCATTTGACAAAGTATAACATTCGTTCATGATAAAAGCCCTCAGGTAGGTTTATAGGGAACATACCTCAACATAATAAAGGCCACATATAAAAAAATATATACTGAACATCATACTCAATGGGGAAAAACTAAGAGCTTCCCCTCTAATGTCAGGAACAAGACAAGGATGTCCACTCTCACCACTTTTATTCAAAACAGTACTAGAATTCCTAGCCACAGCAATGAGACAACAAAAAAATAAAAGGCATCCAAACTACAGATGTAAAACTCTCACTATTTGTAGATGCCATGCTACTATATATAGAAAACCTTAAAGATCACCAAAAAACTACTAGAACAGATAAAGGAATTCAATAAAGTTGCAAGATACAAAATCAATGTGCAGAAATCTGTTGCATTTCTATATACTAATAATGAAGCAGCAGAAAAAGAAATTAAGAAGATAATCCCATTTACAATTGCACCAAAAATAATAAGATACCTAGAATAAACCTAACCAAAGAGGTAAAAGACCTGTACTCTGAAAACTAAAATATTGATGAAAGAAATTGAAGAGGACACAAAGAAATGGAAAGACATTCCATGCTCATGGATTAGAAGAAAAAATATTGTTAAAATGTCTATACTACCCAAAGCAATCTACAGATTTAATGCAATCCCTACCAAAATACCAATAGCATTTTCCACAGAACTAGAATTTTTAAAATCCCAAAATTTATATGGAACTACAAAAAACCCAAATTGCCAAGTCAATCTTGAAAAAGAAAAGCAAAGCTGGAAGTATCACAATTCCAGACTTCAAGTTATATTACAGAGCTGTAGTAATCTAAACAGTCTGGTACTGGCACAAAAATAGACACATAGATCAATGGAACAAAATAGAAAGCCCAGAGACAAACCTACAATTATATGGTCAGTTAATCTTTGACAAAGCAGGAAAGAATAGCCAATGGGAAAAGGATAGTCTCTTCAACAAATGGTGTTGGGAAAACTGGACAGCTACGTTGGAAAAAAGGAAACTGGACCACTTTCTTATACCATATACAAAAATAAATTGAAAATGGATTAAAGACCTAAATGTGAGACCTGAAGTCATAAAAGTCCTAGAAGAGAACACAGGCAGTAAGGTCTCTGACATCGGCCCTAGCAACGTTTTTCTAGATGTTTCCTGAGGCAAGGGAAATAAGAGCAAAAATAAAATATTGGCACTATATCAAAATAAAGCTTCTGTACAGTGAAGGAAATAATCAACAAAAATAAAGACAACCTACGGAATGGGAGAAGATATTTGCAAATGACATATCCAACAAGCGGTTAGTATCCAAGACATATAAAGAACTTACAACTCAATACTCAAAAAACCAAATAATCCAATTAAAAATGGGCAGAAGGGGAGTGCCTGGGTGGGGCAGTCACTTAGGCATCTGACTCTTGGTTTCAGCTCAGGTCGTGATCTCAGGGTCATGGGATGGAGGCCCACATCGGGCTCCACGCTCAGCGTGGAGACTCCTTCAGAGTCTCTCTCTCTCTACCTCTCCTGCTCGTGCACTCTCTCTCTCTCTCTAAAATTAATAAATAAATAAATCTTTTATAAGAATGGCCAGAAGAAATGAATGACATTTCTCCAAAGAAGACATCCAGATGGCCAACAGACATGAAAAGATGCTCAACACTACTCACCATCAGGGAAATGCAAAATCAAAATTACAATGAGATATCACCTCACACCTATCAGAACGGCTAAAATCAACAACACAAGAAACAAGATATTGGTGGGGTTGTGGAGAAAGGGGAACGCTGTTAAACTGTTGGTGGGAATGCCAACTGGTGTAGCCACTCTGGAAAACAGTACGGATATTCCTCAAAAAGGTAAAAAATAGAACTACCAGAACTACACCAGTCAGCCCAACGACCTCATCCTCACTTGATTGTATTTGCACAGACCCTATTTCCCAGTAAGGTCACACTCACAGCTTCCAAGTGGACATAATGTTTTGGAGGACACTATTCAGCCAAGCACAGCTGACTCATGGGGAAAATGCAGGGAAGATGTGGAATCCAGGCCACCGGGAGGCACCAGAGAGATGAGCATCACAAGCACACCCTACAATAGCTAAAGTTCGATAAAGGACAGCTTAAAAACAGTGTTGGAAACTCTATTTTGAGATATTTACGGGGTATTTTCTGAGTTTTACACAGTCATCACAAATTTTGTGGCTTAACACAAACTTGTCATCGCCATTCTGGAGGGCAGGAGTCTGGTTTGCTCTGCTGGGCCCTGCTAGGGTCTCCCTGGGCTGAAATCAGGGTGCCGGCTGGCTACCTTCCTTTCTCAAGGCTCTGGGACACAATTTCCTCCAGGATCACTCAGGCAGTTGGCAGGACCCACTTCCTTGCGGTTGTAGGACTGAGCTCCTGTTCTTGCTGGCTGTCAGCTCCTGGACGCCTCTCTCTAGTGCCTGTGCATGGACCCTCCACCCCAGAGCCCCCAACGGCCATGGAATCCTCCTCTCCCTCCAAATCTCTCCGACTCCCCTTCTGCCACTTCTCCCTTCTGAGCCCAGCCAGAGAAGGTTCTCTGCTGTGAGGGACCCATGGGATCAGACTGGGCCCACCCGGGTAATTCTGGATAATCTCCCTATTTTTAGGTCTGTAATCTGCCTGCTTTGGACACCTAAGTGTCAACGTCCAGCAAGAAGCCGGAAACAGGTATAATCTGGAACTCCCAGGAAATATCTGAGTGACATATACAGAGCTAGGGGTCATCAGTGTAAGGGTATGCAAATGTATCTCATAACCAGGGTGAGAGGGAGAAAAGAGAGGATCAATGCTGAGGAAAACAGTCAGGTGAGGACTGGGTTACAGAGGAATCAGCCAGAGAGATCACTGACAGTGGGTGGCCAGAGACATTGGCAAAACACAGGAAATGTGTATGCCCCCCCTCACCCCACCGCTCACTCTCACTGTGGGCAGGAGGTAAATTCTTTACCCATGGTGTCCTTCAGCTGTAGAGGCACAAATGGGGCTTCTTGGATTCAGAATGCTTTCTCCTACTCATGAAATATGAAGCAATGAAGAAATAGGCTTTATTTAGACACCTGGAGGATCAGCTGTTACCTTACACTGTGATGGGGAGTGGGACCGCAGAAGTATTGCCATGTAGAGTTCATATTCATCCTGTACAAAAAAAAAAATCCACTGAAAATGTGTTATATCACAAGGTAAGTTTCTTTGCAGGGATAAATAATATGGAAGTTAAGGATGTCGGTTCAGATCATTTCAAAAATTATAAAATGTTCCTTCAGTATAAAACCAATAATACATACAATAAAGTGTATAAAATCTCACCAACTTTGAAGCACATTTGAGGGTTAACTGTTGATCACCTCAGAATAGCATCCTAAAATACCTTGACACACATACAACACATGATCTCCTGCCATACAGATGCTCTGTGGGTCCTGCTCACCTGCCAGGGATTACTCCCTAGGTTTGGGGATGTTCTCTGGAGAACAGGCCACTGTATGACTGCTCTTATTTAGGCCTTAGGCAATAGAAAAGATATGGAAGCAACCTCATTTCAACTCAGCTTTGATATCATGAAATCACAGCAAACTTATAATTCCATAGGAATGTATATGAAATAATTATGCATAATTATAAAAGTTTATATGTTACATATGTACAATTTAGAAAAGCCTATAAATAATTGGGAAGCTTTAGTGGGGGGAAAATGGGCTTAAGGAGTGAGCTAGCTGGTTGTTTATTCACATGGGCCCACTTGTGATTTATGTGGCTATATGCACGTTACTTTGAGTCTGCAAGTGATTTTCGTCATCTGTAGAATGGAGGCCATGATATTTGGCAGAATTTCTGTGAGAAATGCGATCCTGTGTGCAAAGCATCATATGTGGCTCTCAGTGGTTATGTGGGAAATAAACATTTTTTATTACCTTAACTTCTTTCAAGATATCACCAAATATCAAAGAACTATTGCAAATATCTTCAAAGACTTCTCTGAAGACGTGCAGTCTGTTGAACTGCTGAGGGTCACACACGCACACTTTCTGGAGCTCCTGGTGGATAAAGAGAACCAGTCATTTTAAGATGTCTTCATTTTTCTTTCCAAATAGCTTCTCGGTAGAGGAATAAGAATTTCCATGGGGCTTTCTATCAGAGGGTCCATCTCCCACCGCTCCAGAACTGGGTCTGGACAGAGCCAGGCAGCAAACCAAGGTGCATCTCATTCCCTCTGAGCAGTGCTGAGAAGGTCTGATTGCACTGTTTTCAAAGGCGTTGGTCTATGTTTTCTTTATTCACTCCATTACACCCTGTACTTGTCCACAACGTCCCCAGGGTCTTCCTCTTTCCATTAGCCCTCTCAGCCAAAACCCTCATCAGGTTTGGTTATTTCTCAGGTATGCTGCTATTTCTTCCATTCTGGCATTCTCACCCTTGCATCACATCTGCGGTCACTGTGCACGACTCTCAGCCCCTGGGAGTTCACCAAAGGTCCTCCCATCATGCTAACCACCTTCCACAGACATGGGTGACTCCAAGCAGACTGCACCTACGTTACCTAACCGTCTACTCCCACCTCACTCTCCCCTCACATGCTTCCATAGTGAGTTAGGCAAACCTTTCGTCAGATATGTCTGCTATCCATGAACATTGTATGTACCACAGCTGCCAGGCAGCATCTGATGCTCTGCCTATGAAGTCACCTCCAACTGACCTGTTTCCAGACTTAGCCTTCCTTTACTTCTCCCTGTTATCATCTACATCATGTCAGAACTGGTAGGTACACTATTTTCTAGCTGGAAATGTAAAGGAGGTGCCTGAATGTGGGTCTCCACCCACAACATTTAGACACCTAGGACTACAGCAGTTTCCCCACAGCACTGCAAAATCACCCTCCTTACCTGTTCCAACTTCTTTTCATGGCATATTGCTGCCTTGATCCCAGTGAAATCGTGCTTCGTGAGATCTTGCTTTGCAAGAACTTCTTTTTGGAAACACAGGAACTTCTTATACTTGTCTGCCTTTGTTATGCCAGCTAAGTAGGAGCTGATGTACCGGTACTCATCCTTGGGTCGGGGAGACATCACACACTGACGGCTGGACTCCACTGTTCTGTACTTGAGAACCTTCATCTCTGGCAGTCTCAGCTCTTCTCTCCTCCGCAGTTCTGGAGAAGCCTCTCTTCCTAGAGCCTTCCTTGGAAAGAAGTCCTTTTCTGAAGTGTGGGAAATATGCTCCAGAGGGTTCAAATACCTGAATAGTGGTGTGGTCTGGGCATCTTTTGGACTCAGAGCTGTATTGATGGCAAAATAAGCCAAAGCATCTTTCATCTTTGCAATCTTCTTATCAGATGGCTTTTCTATTTTGAAGATTTTTTCCCCTTTTGGTCTACTGGCATTGGGCCAGTGATATAGGATTGTCTCAGGTGGCCTGTAGAGCTTATTGGAATTCAAGTGCCCAGAGGTGTAGAGATAGATGTCATCTCTGTGATCTTTCTGAAGTTTGTTCAGTAGTTTCGTTAGATTGCATAAAGTCCTATCACCTTGCACCTCACAGTGCTTCCACCTCATGTAAACTGGTCAGAAAAGATAATAAGATTATTAAATATTAGTTCCATAATAAGACAGTAAGACAGCTGTGTGCATTTGCTGAGCTGGCATATCTCATTCCCAGAGGAGGAGCCGACAGACACAGACAGAAAACAGCACACAGGCCAGGCCTGGCTGCAAACAGAGGACTGCTAGATACACATGATGTGCAGTTCTGATCAGAAAGCCCAGGGCCCTGCAGGGACACTCAGTCCATAGAGCATGCAACTCTTGATCTTGGGGTTGTAGGTTTGAACCCCATGTTGGGTGTGAAGATTACTTAAAAATAAAACCAGGAAGGAAGGAAGGGATGGAGGGAGGGAGGGAGGGAGGGAAGGAGTCCCTCCAGGGCCCTTCAAAGCCAGGAAGAAGGGGGGAGGGACTTTTGATGGTTTCTTACCATATTAGCAAAAGTTCTGAAAGGAAAGTTTTAACAGTGTAATTACGATTCATAATGATGGCACTTAGAGACATTCACCCCTACAAAATGTTTTTCTTTCTCTCTTAATATTGAAAGGTCTCAGAGTCCCTGATCAAACCCCTCAGTGACTGCTGAGCCAGTCACCCCTTCTGCTCCCACCCCCACTTGTAGAAAGATAAGGAGCCAGGGAGTAAAACCTGTGGGTAAGTTGATGGGGACTCCAGCTCCTTCCACAAAGGTCCCTGCTTCTCACATATCCCAGTGGTAGGGCTCCACTTGGGCACATGCTCCAGGACATAAAACTGTAAAAACATGGCTTTTTGAGTCAGTTTCCTAACCATGTGATCTCATAGAGCTTACATAATCTCTCTGAATCACAGTTTCTTCCTCTGCAAGATCAGGATAATCATCCTACTCAAAAGGATTGATTGACAGCTAAATGAAACTGCATTTGGCAGAGAAGCCCATGGCCTGGAACAGATACTCCATAAATGGTATCTATTTTAAGAAAGGACTCTAGGACAAGGAACACCTTATGAAATTTTTCTGGTAGAACATGAGTTGGCCCAGACTTCAACATGAGATTTCTTTTTGGCCATGCACTGTGAGGGCCACGGAGCAGCTAGCCCACAGCTTCACCTTCCCAGAGAACCCTGGAGGAAAGAATAAGCAGATCTGTCCCACCATGTCACCCGAGCGGGGATGGACACTGGCAGCAGAGTGGTAAAGCAGGCCCATCGGAGCCCTCAAGGGCCCGTTCTGAACTCCCACAGACTGGGCATTACCCAGGCCCATAACCCTGTCACACCCGCTGGTCCTCACAAGGATTCCATCTATAACTGGTTTTGTCCCTATTTTGTAAAAGGGAAGCTGAGAAGGAGTTCTGGGACCCACTCAGGTCCAGACACCTAACAAGTGGCAGAACTGATTCCTGAATACAACATTTTTACCCAAACTGCTGGATCATCTCTCTTATTCCACTAGCACCTGAGTAATGCAGGGGAGGACTTTCTGGGAACTATGCCACATCCAAACCCTTTTCCCTGACCAATGCATGTAATGACAATAAATCAGGACACATGATTTCCTCTGTTTTCACCTAAGAAAAGAAAGGCCCAGAGAATATGAAGAAGTAGAATCACTTCTATCACTGTGTAACAAATTATCATAAACTAAGTAGCTTCAAACCCATGTATTAGATCACGGTTCTATGGGACCGAACTCCAGCATGAAGGAGTTAGGTTCTCTGCTCAGGATATTACAACACAGATAACAAAATGTGGGTCTGGTTGAGGTCTGGGAAGCTTTGGGAGAAAACCTGCTTCCAGGCTTATTCCTGTTGTTGACAGAATCCAACTCCTTGTGGTTGTAGGACTGAGGCCCCCACTTCCTGGTTGGCTGTTGGTGGGGGTCACTCTAAGCTCCCAGTGACTACCCTCATCCCTGAACACATGCACCCCTCATCCCTGAGTCCCCCTCACGTACTTCTCATGCCCCTAACCTCTGACCCTCCTCTAGGACCAGCTTCATGTGATTAGGTCAGGCCCACCCAACACACTACCTGTCTTGAGGTCACTGGTGCTATGGGACATAGCACAATCACAGAGCACTCTCTCCTCATGTTCAAAGTCTTGAGGACTATGCCAAGTACGCACCAGAGGTCAGGGAAACTTGAGCCATCCCAGAGTTCTCCCCATCTCAGGGATGTTGCCAAGCCCAGAGCACAGTCTCCCTTTGCCTTGTCCCATGAAGAGACAAATCAACCTTTCCCATCTGTGTGGTCAGATATTAGAGCAAATACTTCCAGCAGTGGGATTCTTGAGAATTTCTCCCTATTGATCAGCTTATTACTTCAAAGAAACCACTTATAAAATGTTAAAATATTAATAGAACCATCTTTCAAGACAGTCAATCATAATTCATCAAAGGCAGAAACACTTAAAGAAGATACCAAACACACATTGTATTTGTTGGGCTTCTCCAGAGGACAGAACCAATACGATAGAGAGAGAGAGAATATGTAAAGAGATTTGTTATAAGGAATTGGCTCACATGGTTATGCCCTCTGGCAAGTCCAAAATCTGCACGATGGTCAGCATGCTGGATACCCACTTCATGCCCAAGGCTTTCTGCTAGAGAATTCCCTCTTGCTCTGGGGAGGTCAGTCTTTATTCTATAAGGTCTTCAACAGATTAGATGAGGCCCACCCACATTTCAGAGAGCAATCTGCTTTACTCAAAGTCTACTGATATAAATGTTAATTTCATCCAACAAACAGCCTCAACAGAAATATCCAGAATGAAATGTGACCAAATATTTGGGCACTGTGGCCTAGCTAAGGCGACACCTAAAATCCACCATCACATGCATTATTCCAATTCTCTTTGGAAAGTGGGAGAAGGAGGCAGCTCAGTTGTGTTTATTTTATTTCCGGAAAGGATTTGAAACCACCAGAAAATTAGCAAAATCATTTTCCTACTTAGAATATTTTTCTTTACATTGCAACAAGACTTGCTTCACTAGATTTAGAGAATCTGGATTCCATTTCTCTCTGCCAAGTTCTTACAATATGTACCAGGGATCCCATACTGGCAATAAATATTTTAATTTCTTTTCTACCTGGAAACATTGTTTATTTGCATATTCTGCCACCTCAAACTGACAGAAAAAGAACAGAAAAGGTTGAAATAATTCATTGGGAAATGTCATTCTTTACCAAATAACTGGGGAACAAATTCGTTTTAAGTAAAACCAAACCAATGTTGAATAGATATTGATAAGACATAGTAATAGGTTTTTTGGACTAGGTTTAAATTAATAAATATTTCAAACATCAGCATTTGACATTTTTAAATACAGGATGTTGTTTTTGGTGGTTCATCTTTTCCAAGACAGAAGCAGTAGGTCTTTAATGTCAAAATTATTACAAGTCACTTTCCTGTGTTATGCGATCTCAGGGAACCTTGGAATCCCATAGACATCTTCTTGTGCTGTCTCCCTCACCTCCAGACTTAAGTCAGCAAACATCCTTGTGGTATGTGTTAGAGGCAAAAATTCAGGGAAAAGAGCAGGCCAATCCCCAGCCCCACAGACTCCTTGCCCTGTGGGGCAGGTATGGCCAGAGGAGAGCCCCAGAGCCTTGGGGAACAGGGCAGGCCAGGCTGGGTGCTTGAACTCCTAAAAGAATCCATGTGGGGCCCCTCTGTGCAGATCCTCTCCCTGTGGCTGTTTGGTCCTCCCCCATGTTAATCACCTATAGGATGTTTACAACTCTTCTCAAGATTTTAAGCTCTCTTCCCTGAATTCTGCGGATGGTTTTGTACTGGTCACCAACTGTAATGCTCTTCTCCTGTGATTTCTACTTTTCCTCAAGGGAAGAAACTGTTTTATTAACATCGGCATCTTCAGAAAAAGACCAAGAGTATCTGTTTTGTTTCATGAATAAATGTGGAAAAGAAGTCATATTTTTAGAATTTTAAATAATAAGGTAAAATTTTACTCTGTACCACACTGCTGTCTCCCTCGGATTCCCCAGCAGCAATCTGAAAGTCCAGTAGGGAATGAGCTACGCGATAGGGAGAAGGTAGGAGCTGTGGGAGAAGCACACATCTACGGTGCTGGAGCGAGGAAGGGAAAACCACACCGTACGTTAATTATCTTAACGTATCTACGGCTGTCCTGTGGTTGGACATGGAAAGCAGATTAATGGGTCCGCCTAATTCTATGCTCTTGGCAAAGGGACTTTGCAGATTTCATTAAAGTTATGACCTTAGAATAAAGAGATTATCCAGAATTACCCGGGTGGGCCCAGTCTGATCCCATGGGTCCCTCACAGCAGAGAACCTTCTCTGGCTGGGCTCAGAAGGGAGAAGTGGCAGAAGGAGAGCCAGAGAGATTTGGAGGGAGAGGAGGATTCCATGGCCGTTGGGGGCTCTGGGGTGGAGGGCCCACGCACAGGTACTAGAGAGAGGCGTCCAGGAGCTGACAGCCAGCAAGAACAGGAGCTCAGTCCTACAACCTCAAGGAAGTGGGTCCTGCCAACCGCCTGAGTGATCCTGGAGGAAATTGTGTCCCAGAGCCTTGAGAAAGGAAGGTAGCCAGCCGGCACCCTGATTTCAGCCCAGGGAGACCCTAGCAGGGCCCAGCAGAGCAAACCCAGACTCCTGCCCTCCAGAACGATGACAAGTTTGGTTTGCTTTAAGTCACTAAATCTGTGGTCATCTGTTATAGCAGCAGAAGAAACCAAATACGGCGCGTGGTTCCCAGGACTGGAACGGCCGGAGGGTGATGACAGTGAGGGGAGGGCTAGTGGCCAGCAGAAGAGGCAGGAAAATCACTAAGTAGTCTTGACAATTCAGGGAGAGCCAGCCCTGGGGCGGGGGGCGGGGAGGGGCGTCACCCACAGCACACCACTGCCCTGTGCCCAGGGATCCCAAATGGAAGAATGCAGTCATTCGGCCCAACATTACAGAGGAGAGCCTCCAGTTTCTTTACGCCCATATTAAAGAAAAAATAACCTCCAAAGGCTGGAAGGCTGTAAAAGTATTCCCGCGGCCCGCTGCGTAGCCGGGGTGCGGGTGCCTGGGCCCCACAGCTGTTGGGTGCTTTCCTTTGCACTGCACCCGATTTACTTGTAAGGGATTTATTTGGCGACTATTTTTTCCTCCTCCTTTTTACAGAATATGTACTTATTAAGAATTACCAAAATAAGACGAGAGCCTTCTCTGTTTCCAGCCACCATGTTGCAGGTTTTGCCGAGGGCACGCAGTCACCTCGCAATTTAAATCTTACGGGGCAGTTCTTGAAAGTTGAGTACCACGAACCCCGATGTTGCGAGGCAAAAATGGGCCCGGATGTTCTGTGTACACAGGGCCGCGTCTGTGGGCACCCAGCAGCTCGCCCTCCCGCTACCCAAACACCGCTCGGCACAGACAGAGACAAGTGCTCTGCGCACAACTGCGGAATCATGCGCGGCCCGAGGAAGACCTCTCTGTGCAGGGGAAGCCAGCCGAAGCCGAGAGGAACTTCGAAAGCGCTCAAACAGCAGGACTGGAAAATCCATTAGACCACGTGCCCAGAGACCGGACAGACGTGAGCAGTGAGAGGCTTTAGAAAAAAGGGGTTTTCGGGCGCCTGGGTGGCTCAGTCGGTTAAGCGGCTGCCTTCGGCTCAGGTCATGATCCCAGGGTCCTGGGATCGAGCCCACATCAGGCTTCCTACTCAGAGGGGAGCCTGCTTCTCCTTCTCTCTCTGCCTGCCTCTCTGCCTACTTGTACTCCCTCTCTATCTCTCTGTCAAATAAATAAATAAAATCTTTAAAAAAAAAAAAAAAAAGGTGGGGGGGGGTTTCGTGCACACAGCCAGTACGTGGAGTGATTGCAGGGGGAACAGAAACCGCATGGTCGAGAACTCACGGGAGAGGAGTGCCCTCAGCACCCTCACTTCACGGGGGGCGGGGGGAGACTGAGCCGCAGGTGGCTGAGGCCAGGGCTCCGCGGTCAGTCTGCGCTGCCTGCGGCCCGGGCTCTCGCCTGCCCACTAAGCAACGCGCGCAGGAGTGCGCCATGCACTTGCCCGTAATGGAATTTCTTTCAAAATACGTTACCGTTCAGACTGTATTGCTCCACCCAGTAAGCTTTCTCTCAACTCAAAATTCCTCTGCAGGCCGCGGTGTGGTGGGAAAGCGATGGCCGCGGGGTCAAAAGAGCCGGGTGACGTCCCCCTGCCTCCGGGTCCTCAACTCACACCAGTAACCCTCGCCTTCGGGAGCCGGAAGCTAAATAAACGCGACGGCTGTCCTGTGGTTGGCGGCGGCTCCGGGAGGACTGCAGGGTGGCGGCGGCCAGGGAGCGTGCCCGCCAGCGGGTGGCTCTTTAGAAAGCACACTCGGACCAGCGTCTGGAAACCGCCCCCTCATCCCTCCTCCTCCCAGAGGACACGCACGCATGCGCAAGCGCACACACACACGCACGCGCGCGCACACGACCTGGTTCCTTTGAGTGTGACCAGTAGGCTTTCCGAGGAGGCACGGCGTCCCCAGACGCAGCCCTACACCCTGGTGACCCGGGGCTGAGGTGCAGCCACCAGAAAGGTTTTCATTTCCCTCCGGGTTCGGAGCCGCTGGGGTTCTGGGCGAGCGCACAGCCAACGGACCTCAGACGGCAAACACAGCGCGCTCAGCGCACACTTACACTCGGGCCCCGAACCCCCGGCCATCGCTCCGGCACCGCAGCTCCGGACTGAGGCCGCAGTTACCGCGGAGACGGACAAACATTCGAAGGCCCTCCCCCGCTGGGGGGGTGGGGGGGCGTTCCTCTGCTGCTGGGCCACCCCCACCCAGCCCCGCCCTCCGCCCCGCCCTCCCCGGCACGCCTTCCTGAACAGGGAGTACCAGGTTTCCGGGCTTGCTTTACTTTGTAAATTAAAACACTTTCTGTCATTTGAGAAGCACCAAAATACCCTTGTACTCTAATACTTTACCAAAGCCTGGGGAACAAAAAAGGCAACTGGTCTTTGGCTGGGCATCTTTATAGAGACATTCAGGTTGCACGATGCACACCTCATGCAACTGTACCTGGCGTTCTAGCACATCGTAGGTGTCAGTCACTAAATTATCATTTAGTTATTTTCCTAGTAGGGAGACTCAGGCGCTCATCCCAGCGAATTCACTCATTTAGTTATTTTCCTAGTAGGGAGATGAGATCACGTGAGGTAAAATAACTTGGCCACGATCAGTTAGTTAGCAGAGTAGAAGAATGTAAACACACATCTCTTTGCAGTCTGTGCTCTTTCCTCAGGCTCTGCTAAGGAAAGAAGAAAAGCGAAGGGAAGGGAAGAAAAGCTAAAAAAATCTCTACGTTTCCTATCTTTGAAAACTGTAGTTCTATTTAAATTTCTTCCAGCCAGGGAGGATTCGAGTGTCCTGGCATGGTGGCTGCGACTCTCAGACGTGACTTTGGGCAGCCCCTCACTGCTGCCCAGCTCAGGGAGGAAGTGATGATAAGGCTAGACGGTGTGTGTGAGAAATTTGGGCACACAATCTTTCACCTCCACTGATGCTGGTCAGACACTTTGTAGGCGAACGTTTTGGAAATCATGAAGTTGCCCTGACTCTACCATTGCTCAGGTGGCTCCATAAATAGGAGCATTTGGATTTGACCTGGAAAAAAAATAACAGAAGTGTTTCCCAGTTTTCTCTCTCCAACATTCAGTCTTTAGGCATCTGACCATAACTAGAAATGCTGACATGAAAATGCCCACATTGCATAAGGATATCTAAGCATTGGCCCAGGACGGGAAAAGTGTTCCCCACATTCTGTTAATTACAAATTAGGGTCAGATTGTGGCAATCCAGGTTTTTGTATTACCAACTATTAGAGATGAAACAATGAGCCTTTCTGCTCCAAATTGTTTAGTGATTGGGTGGCAGGCAGACAGGTGACAGAGGTTTTCTCCTCTCTCCTTCCACAGATGGGCTCAGAGGACAGAGCTCCTGGCCCTGGGAGAGACGGCCATGGAAGTGTGTGCCCCAGGACCAGTGGGGCACCTCCAAGAGTTCAGCTTGTGTGGTACTCACACTGCTCATTGGCACGAGAATGGATTTGGCTCATTCTGCATGGAATTACAGATCAGAAAGAAAATAGTGTATTTCTCCCAAGTCATCCCTGTGATAGGACCCATATACAGTTCAATTCAACCGTCTCTCACAGACTAAAGTTCAGGAAGTCAATGATCAAATCACCACCAAACATTAAAACCCACTACAGCTCTCCGACTGCTAAGTATGTCAACAAAGTGTTTGAGGCAGAAAGCTATTATTATCGGTGAAATGGACTGATCTGCCAAAACCAGGAGATCTTCCTTGAGGCCAGATTTCTATGTAGGAATCCCCAAGAACTGATCACCACGCAAATTGCGCGAGCAGGTATTTGAATTCGTATTATGCTATTTTGTTTTTCAGCTCTAGGTGGCGCTGGAATACACCTTAAAACACTCGTCAGAGTTCCTGAAAGCTGCCTAAGGATGAGACTCGGGCGCTCATCCCAGCGAATTCACTCGTCCACACACATCCTTTCATCCTGCTAGGATTCAAAGAGAAAACAAGAAGTATTGTCTGCTCTTGCAACTTTGCTAAGAATGCAGAAGCGCACGATTTATTCCCTGTTCTAAAGATGCTCAGGGGAGAGGAGACAAACCACTTAAGCGCAATACGCGGGGGAGAGGGCCGGTGGAGACAGGTGCAAACTGGCGCAGAGGAGGGGATGGCTAGGGGCGGGGGGGGGGGGGGGGGTGCTCCGGGAGGACCCCACGTTCACGGTCCCACGACGGGCCAGCAGCAGGAGGGGAGAGCCTCCCGTGCGCTCCTAACAACCAACACATTGGAAATCTAACTGGTCAAAAATAAACATTTAGTTACCGCCTTTCCAGCTGTTAGAATTTATTGTGTAAAAATAGACAAAGTGAAGACAACTTTTTTTTTTTTAAGATTTTATTTATTTTTGACAGAGAGAGAGAGCACAAGCGGGGGGAACAGCAGAGAAAGAGGGAGAAGCAGACTCCCCGCTGAGCAAGGAACCCAATGCGGGGCTCGATCCCAGGACCCTGAGACCATGACCCGAGCCGAAGGCAGACGCCCAAACCGTCTGAGCCACCCAGGCGCCCCTGAAGACAACTTTTTAAGCACCTTTGTGCTTTCTAAGCTCTGGAGTGACACAGAGTGACGCGTTTAAGGAAGTCCAGGTAGACTGTGGACTGAAATTCTACACCATCCCGACAGGGAGACGCGGGATGTGACGGGGAGTCTGGAAGCTGCAAGTGTGCCCGAGTCAGGAGGGAATGTCAGGTCGGTCCTGCAGACTGCAAGGAGTTCGCGAAGAATTCTGAACACACACAGAGAGACCACAAGTTTCCATTTTAGAAAGATAACTCTGTGGTTCACACTGTAGACGGAGAATGCCGGCGGCGGTGAGAGCCAAGAATTGCATTTCCAGTTCTACACGCAGTGACACCCCAAATTCTCCTCCCTGCGTCCTGGCGCAGTGGAAGCAAAGTCTCCATCCACAGGAGGCCTAGAGTGCTGGGGGACCCCTTGCCCTCCTGCTTTCCAAGGCCCGTACCCACTGGGAAGCGTCTGCCCCGGGCTCCCTCTTCCCTCCCTTCTTCTTTCCCTCTCCATCTGATGGCACATTTCCCTGAAAACAAACGAGCTCTTGTTTTTCCAATCTTAAAAACATATAAAAACAAAACCTTTGCTTTGACTCTGCATCTCTCTAAGGCAAAGGCGCCCTCACATTTACCTGACAGCACAGATCCTAGTCGGAGACCCGCACAGGGAGGGCAAGTGGCGGGTCTGCGCAGGTGGGTAACTTACCGCAGCTCTGCGGGCGCCCCAGAGGCTGGAGGAGGGGGTCCCCGCCACGCCTGTGTCTGCCGCAAGGGGCGCTGTCTCCGCTGATCTCCCACCTTGTGGCGGGTAGCCTCCATTTTGCCCTAAAGGGACTTTTCTGCATTATAACTTTATTTTTAAGTGGCATTTGAGGACAAAATAATTACGAGACCCAAGAAGGTTGAAAATGGGATGAAGAAATGCTGTAGAAAGAACACAACTTCCCCAGAAGGGCTCCCACGTCTCTTCCCACCCGTGTCCTGCACGAGCCTCCTCTTCCTCCTCCAGAAAGTAAAATAAACCTTCATCTCCTCACAGTGGTACATAAAACCGCATTTCTTTACTTCCAAACTGCCGTTTACAACTTGTCTAAAACATCTCAATATTTCACTGAAAGGTTTTCTCAACTGTGAAAATTGCTATCTTGGGTCAGGATGTTTCATTAAAAACAATGAAAATATCTTTGATGTAATGACTTCTGGAAAACCAGAATTTAAGCCATTAAGTGAGGGATGAGTAATGAAAACTCCCTCCGACCCCAGCCTTTAGTTTCTCTCCCCCAAAACAAATCACATCTGGTCTCTTACTTAGCAGGCCACCCACAGACAGGGGCCCCCCCACCCCATGCTTTCACTTCTGCAGAGGATGGCCCACCACTCACCAGTTCCTGCACCTGGATTCTTTCTCAAATAAATAAATAAATAAATAAAAGTCTTGGAAATGATTCCACACCAGTACCTAAAGAGCCTGGCTTTTTTTTTTTTTTTTTTTTAGATTTTTATTTCTTTATTTGAGAGAGAGAGTGTGTGCATGAGCGGGATGAAGGACAGAGGGAGAAGCAGACTCCCCGCTGAGTAGGGGACTCACCTCTCTCTCCAACGCTGGACTCCATCCTGGGACTCCCAGGAACAAGACCTGAGCCAAAGGCAGATGCTTAACCACTGAGCCACCCAGCACCCCAATCCTGACTTTTTAAATAGCTGTATTGTATTTCATTTTTATGTATAATCAACAGGCAACTGACCGACATTTATTCTGTTTCCACTCTTTTGTATTAAACTCCTGTGCTCACCTTCAGGTGCCTTCTTTGGTGTGAGAATATTCGGGTAAACCTGAGAAGCCAGGTGAGCTCAGTCAAAGGGTTTGTGACCAGAGGCTGTGCCGATTCACCCAGTACCCGCCACAGTGAAGGTGATGTGGGGCTGGCAGTGGACGGTCCAGAAAGATTTCTTGAGATGTTTTTGGTGCAAAAAAGGTGTTTTTATTAAAGCACAGGGACGGGACCCACAGGCAGGTAGAGGTGCACTGGGACTGGGAGGAGTGACTGATTGTACACTTGAGTTTATAATTATAAACTATAGAATTTATACTTATATAAATATATAAGTAAATATATAAATTTAAATATATTATTAAAAAATCTAAAAAGGAGGGCACACTTGAGTGGCTCA